GCATCCTCGGGGGCGGCCCCGTCACCGTGTGCCGGAACGAGGAGCTGAAGTGCCAGCCGGAGCCTCTGGAGGTCAAGGTGGGTTGTGCCTCCCCTGGGCCGCCGTGTCCCTGGGGTCTCGCCCTGCTCTGCCCCTGCCTGCCCGGGGGGCTCTGCTGGCAGCGCCGGGAGCGCAGCCCCTGAGCTCCTGCTGCTCTGGTGCCTCCAGTGCAAGCGCGTGTGCGGCGGGCCCTGCAAACTGCAGCTCAGCCTGGATGGCAAGAGGCTGTACGTCACCAACTCCTTCTACAGCACCTGGGACAAGGAGCTGTACCCTGAGATGGTCAGGTAGGAAACCCTGGCCAGGAAAGGGGCCTCTTGGGGTGGCCTCTCTGCTGGGCTGGGGCCAGGCGGCTCCTCGGGGGCTGCAGGGGCACCGTGGTGACCTCAGAGGGGCAGCTTGTCCTGCCAGCATCCCCGCAGCTGGCCCAGGAGAAGCCTCTTCCTCCACAGGGAGGAGGCTGAGGGGCAGCAGCTCCTGCCCGGGCCCACGGGTGCTTGTCTCTACCTGCTGTGCTCTTGTCCCTGGCAGGGAGGGCTCTGTCATGCTGCAGATCGATGTGGACACGTGCAAGGGCGGCCTGAGCGTCAACAAGAACTTCCTGGTGGACTTTGGAAAGGAACCCAACGGGCCTTGCTTGGCCAATGAGATCCACTTCCCCTCTGGAGACTGCACCACCGAGATCCTGCCCTAGGCAGCCTGGGAAAAGCTCCCTCCTTCTCTCTCTGGGGGGCAGCCCCCAAGAAGAAGGGGCGCAGGGCTGCTGGGTTGGGGGTCCCCCTTCACTGCTGGGGTCTAGGTTTCTGCTAGCCTGAGCTGCAAGCTCTGCCCTGCACGGGTTTCCTTCGGGCAGACCAGTGGGCAGGACACGTGGCACCTTCTGGGGCTGCTTCCAGGTCCAGGCCACTCCTGGGCAGGCTCCGAGCAGGGCCCAGGGCAGCTGCTCACACCAGGCTCTGGCAGCAGCAAGTGAAGTGCCCGCTTCCTGGGAGCTCCTCTTCTTCAGCCAGGTCCTTCCTGGATGGTCTTTCCCTGGCACCAGAGCCCTGGGGCTCCCTTGGCACGAGCCGGGCTGGTCTGCCTGCCAGCTGAGGGCTGGGAAGTGCTTTATTTTGAGGAGAGGTGCCTGTTCCCTGACACTGGTTTGCTCTTGTGCTCTGCTTTAAACATCAATAAAACGGTGCTTTGCATCAGCTGCATCTTCACGTCTCCTCCTTCACTGAAGCCTGTCATGTTTGTCCAGTGGGAAACAGTTGCCAGGAGTGGTGAGACGATCAGGGATCTGAAAATCCTTAAGACAGGACCTGACTGAGCAGAAGCACCTGTTTGTCTTCCTGCAGTTTCTGGGAGAAATTGTCTTTGCTTGTCTGGGGTTGTTTTTGTCTTAAGGTAGAGACCAAAACCCAGGGGTTTTTAATGGCAAGTCTCATCACATCTGCCCTGGCAAGACAAACTGTTCCCCATTCTATAACTTTCCCACCTAATAACTGGGATATAATGTATCTTGTTGTCCTCCTGCACTTGTTGGACATTCTACAGATGGACTCTCCTGGTGTAAATACATCTGCTTGTCTTGGATACAACCTGGCAGCAAGAAGTAAAACGAATCTGCCACTCCAAAGTAACAATTAATGTGTGAAACCAGGAAATAAGCAACTCAGGAACGACCAGGCAAGGTCCACCCTGCCCTCCTGTGGTCACCTGGAGGATCATCTGCTTTCCTTAATGCCCAAGGACCTAACGGCTCCTTGGGGCAGGGTTCAAAGAGACCAAGGGGCAGCAGCCCCTGAGGCACCACTGAGCTCCCAGGTGGGCAGGACTCAGCAGGTCGCTACAGAAGGAAGGCTTGATGATGAAGTGTGATCTGCCAGCTAGATGAGGGCTCTGCTGTGGAAGTGCAGTAGAAGTGGGAAAAAGACCCAGCCAGGAGTGGGAAGTGCCATTAAGAGGCTGCTCCTCCCACACTGCTGGTGATTCCAGCAGGGGCAGCTGAGCAGGAACAGGCAGAGACCAGCAATGGACACAGGAGGGAAAGCAACAAACCTGGAGAGGCAGGAAAGAGCATCAGGCCCAAGGATCAGCTCTGGGAAGATGCAGCAGGTGCTGGCAAGAGAAGGATGGTGGACTTGTGAGTGCTTTTCTGTTTGAGAAGTTCCAGGACACCTGAAAGACAATCCCTGCAGGCACCACCTGGCCCTGGCACAGCCACAGAGCAGCCTCTGCAGCCTCCTCCAGCCTCAGACAAGACAGAGCTCCATCTGACTTGAAGAACAATTTTATTGGTGATTCTTGCAACATCAGTGCACACACGTTAAAATATAACCCAGCTCCAGAAACCTGTGGCTTCAGATCAGATGCACAGGATTTTCACAGTGTCTGCTGTGAAGCACTGATGAATTTATGAGCAAATGAAGCTTTGCAGGGCAGGACACTCTTGTCCTGAGGCAAGTGCTAGGAATGTGTCCTTCTTATGGAGTTTCTCAGGACCAGCTTCTCCACCAACAAACAGGGGCAAGGCAAAGTGGCACTAAACAAGGCAAACAGTCCTTAACAGACTGGTGACCTTGGCCTTGAAACCTGCAGTCAACAGGGACTTCACAGGAGCTTGTGAAAGAGAAAGAAGGAGCAGAAGACCTGAGATGGAGATTATGTCTCAGAGAGATTCACTTGGATGCCTCAGAATGAGAAGTGGAGCTTCTGTGGTTCACCTAAAATTGGTCAGGGCACAAAGTTCCAGCTGAATGGATTCACCTCTACAAAAGGGAAGTGGAAGGTAGGGAGCACAAAGAAGAAAGAGAAAAAAAAAGACAGGAAAAATAAACCCCAAAACAAAGCAAAACCAGCTCCAGACAACAATCACATCCAGATATCAGAGGTACAGTCTCCACCAGGGTAACGAATCTCATGAGCCAGCACAGGCCCATCAGGCTCCTTCCCAAAATCCACTAGGAAGTTTTGATTCACTTTCAATCCACCTCTCTCAGTATCCACATCAATCTGCAGCATGACAGAGCCTTCTCTGAAAAAGGGACAAAAAATCAGATATTGGGAAAAGGATTTGTACTTGTTGCTCCTCTTCCATATTAGGGAAGAATTTGTCTTTGGTTAATACAAGATGGAAAGAATCCCAGATCCCAAATGGGCCTCAGGTCTCACAAGTGAGCTCAGTGAAACCTGCAGCCTCAAATTAGCAATGAATGAGAATTAATAGTTGTTACTTATAAAGGACCAGGCAAGCTGCACTGTGCCCTCCTGTGGCCGCCTGGAAATCATCTCCTTGCTTTAATTCCCCAAAATGAATAGACTGCAGCAGCTCTTCTCTGGAGCCAGGCTGGGAGAGTTGGGGTGTTCAGCCTGGAGAAGAGAAGGCTCCAGGGAGACCTTAGAGCAGCTTCCAGTGCCTGAAGGGGCTCCAGGAAAGCTGGGGAGGGACTTGGGACAAGGGCAGGGAGGGATGGGAGGAGGGGTAGGGATGAAAAGTGGGAGAGGGAGCTGGAGGTTGGAGCTGAGGAGGGAATTGTGGAGTGTGAGGGTGGGGAGCCCTGGGACAGGTTGCCCAGAGAAGCTGTGGCTGCCCCATCCCTGGGGGTGTTGAAGGGCAGGTTGGATGGGGTTTGGAGCAGCCTGGGCTGGTGAGAGGTGTCCCTGCCCATGGGGGGGTTGGATCCAGATGCTCTTGGAGGTCCCTCCAACTCAAACCATTCCATGATTCTCTGACCCACTCAAAGGCAGTTTGAAAGTACTACAGATTCCATCACATTCACTGGTTTCTTCCCATTCTCCCCTACTTCCAACTCAACCACGATTCCAACAGTGTGTGCAGAGCCCAGCTGGTGTGTCCATGTCACCAGGTAAGAGATCTGGCTTGTGCAGCCAACCTGGTTTACCAAGGTTTACTTACTTGAGAAGCTCTGGGTAGAACTGCTTGTCCCACCCGCTGTAGAGCGACGTGGTGACGTACAACCTCTTCCCATCCAAGCTGAGCTGAAGCATCTGAGGTCCACCCTGCACCCTCTTCCCCTGAAACCAGAGCAGGGAACAAGGAGCTCAAGAGAAGCTGTTGAGGTTGAACAAAAGAAATGCAACAGCAAGGAGAAATCACTCAGCAGGGCAGCTCTGCTACTCAGAGAAACACCCAGCACCCTGAACTCTTGTGACACAGGAGCACCACATCCCCTCTTCTGGGGAGAGAACAGGTTTTATTTGGATTCTTATTCCTCACAATTAATTCACAGACTACCACACACACACCCACTGCAGGATGGTTTAGTTGCTGAAAGGTGCTCAGGACAACACTGGCAGGGTGCTGGACGCACTGCACCCCTCCCCACCAGCCAGGTGACACCAGGGAAGGTGTCACTACACAGGTACAGTGGAACAGCACTTTCCAGAGCACTTTCCAGGATTTACCAGCTCCGGGCCAGGCTGTGATACCTGCCCAGGCTGTGAGCCAGACACCACCTCAGACAGGGCCTTGGAGGTTGTGCACCTGGCGAAGGTGTGGGGAGGGATCACAATGAGCAGAGCTCTGACAACACCCATGTTAGCAAAACTTACTTTGATCACAAATGGCTCGGGCTGACACTGCAGTTCCTGATCTTCCACCACGGTGACAGGCCCCCCTGTGGCGATGCTGCCTCCCAGGAACACCTGCAACCAGGGAAGGGGTGAGGGAAGGGGACAGCATCTGCTGGCAGGGGGATTGGAAGGCAACGTGGGGACAATTCTCATAGAATCATAGCATGGTTTGGGTGGGAAGGGACCTTCAAGATCATCTAGATCCATCCCCCTGCACGGGCAGAGACACAGGTTGCTCCAAGCCCCATCCAACCTGCCCTTCAACACTGCCAGGGATGGGGCAGCCACAGCTTCCCTGGGCAACCTGTTCCAGGGTCTTTCCACCGTCACACGCAATAATTTATTCCAGATATCTAACCTAAATCTCCCCTCTTCCAGTTTAAAACTATTACCCCTCATCCTATCACTACACACCCTGGTGAAAAGTCCCTTCCCAGCTTTCCTGGAGCCCCTTCAGGCACTGGAAGCTGCTCTAAGGTCTCCCTGGAGCCTTCTCCTCCCCAGGCTCAACACCCCAGCTCTCCCAGCCTGTCTCCAGAGCAGAGCTGCTCCAGCCCAAGGATCATCTTTGTGGCCTCCTCTGGTCTTGCTCCAAGAGCTCTAAGTCCTTCCTGTGCTGGGGGCTCCAGCACTGGACACAGCTCTCCAGGTGGGGTCTCACGAGTGCGGAGTAGAAGGGCAGAAAGTAAAAGCGAAGTAAACTGAGGAAAAACTACACTGTCATTTTCTCCCTTTGAGCAAGGCCGAGTGAAGGAGACTGCACTGCCCTCCTGACACCCCTCCTGGTGCTGCCCACCTGTCCCACCAGCTTGGGCTGGCGGGTGCTGGAGATGTCGTACTGCCGGACGTCCCCGTGCAGCCAGTTGCTGAAGTACAGGAACCTGTCGTCCAGCGAGATCAGGATGTCAGTGATGAGCCCTGCAGGGAGATGTCCAGGAGCGAAGTCAGGGAAGGGGCAGGAACCCAGCAGCACACAAGGCCACAGCCTATTGTCTTTCAAAATTCTAGTCATGGCAGCCTCAGAAAAGTAAGTTAAGCTGTGGGTTGAACAAACTCAACCATCCCTGGAAACCCGGCGCCCATTCGGAGGCTGGACCAGCTCCTGGACACTCAGGAGTGCTGTGAGCTCCTGGTGGAAGAGCAGACTCCAAGGATTCTCCTGGAGAAACTGACTTCAAGCACTGAGCAGTGTAGAAGCAAGAGGTCTGGTGACCTCCTACCTGCTGGCCCATCAGCAAGGCCAGTCTGGCTGCATAACCAGGAATTCAGTATCTCACAAGGGGAGAGTTTGTCATTTGAGGATCAGATTTTGCAGAAAGATTCACTGTACCAGGGAACTGAAGAGGACAACACCCCATTTCTTCTCCAAACACTTACCAGGCATCTCAGGGAGAAGCCACCCTTGCACCTTCTTGTTGGGTACTTGGATCACCTTCTCTGCTGCCCAGTCTCCTTTCTGCAGAGGCACAGGAGAGATGACAGTGTTGTCATTGCCACCAGGGCTCAGCTGCCAGGGCAGGGAGAAGCAGCAGACTGTGCTATTTATTTGACAGGTCCTGCACAGAGGTGACAGGCACATCCCAATCAGTGTTACCAGGGGGTGAGGGTGGTGACTGTACTGCCAGGGAGAAGGTTAAGCACAGAACCACAGAGTTACTGAGGCTGGAAAGGACCTCTGAGATCATCAAGTCCAGCCTATGACCTGACACCACCACGTCCCCAGACCATGGCACTAAGTGCCACCTCCAGCCTTTCCCTGAGCAGCTCCAGGGATGGTGCCTCCACTACTTCCCTGGGCAGGCCATTCCAATGTCTGATCACCCTTTCCATGAGGAAGTGCTTCCTGATACCCAACCTAAACCTCCTCTGGAGCAGCTTCAGGCAGTGTCCCCTGGTCCTGTCACTAGCTGCCTGATTACACTGTGCAGGAACCCCCCAAAGAGACTGCTCTAGCAGCAGAGCTCAGGATTACAGCTCAGTGTCCTGCCTGTTTCCAGCCCACCTTCTAAAAGGCCACAGTTCTACCTCCATGGCCCCATCAACCTCCCTCCATCCTCTACTCTCAGCTCCTCCTTGTGCTGCCCACCCCTGGCACTGGTGGTGTTTGCTGACCACTGTGCTGCTGAGCTGCTGCTGCAGCTGCTTCCTGCATGGTCCTATGTCCAGGTGATCCCCAATGTTCTCAGGACCTCCCCCTCTCTGAAGATTTCACAACTCATTCACTGTGATGAAAATGATCAACAAGTGGAGAGCATGAGAGCTGCAAGTGGCTGGAATTAGGAGCCATAGGTACATCTTTTAAATCCAAATTCTGTCTGCCAGGGGGGGATGTGTGACCCGTGGGGCTGGAGCTGTGCTTGCCAGGGCTGCCCCTCCTCACCTGGGTCTTGTAGAACCGGTGCACGGCCCCGCTCAGGGCACACCCAACAAAGCCCTGGGCAGCATCTGGGTCGTGGAGGAACCGGATCTCCAGGGGGATGGAGCCCTTCCCCAGGTCGATGGACTGCAGGAGGGTGTGGGTGCTCCAGTCCCACACGTTAATGCAGCGGCCGTAATGCCCTGAGGGGCCAGAACAAGCTGTTACTTCCAACAAAGAGACACTTTGGCTTCCCAAGAGCTTCAACAACCCTCCCTCACCTCTCTCCACATCAGCCGGGTTGAATCCATCTGCCAGGACTTTGGGGGCTCCCCATTCTGTGCTCATCAGGACATTGTGTCGTGGCTGGTACCAGAAATCGTAACCCAAGGAGGGCACCTTTTCCCCCTTCTCCCAGTTTCCTTTCACTTCAAAGCTCTCTCCATCCAGCAAGATAAAGCCACCTGAGGCAGGAACAGCAGAGAATTGTTTGAAGGCATCCACACCAGTCCATGGCTTTAAGATAAATCACACATTAATATTTACATATCTGCTTTCCAAAATGCAACTCTGTGCTCCAGGAAATGTCGTGACTCTGTTGCTGTCACTTTTATGGTCTAAGGCAGATGAAAGCTGGGTTTTTAAAGAACTTTATCACATTGTGATGATTTTTTTAAGCTCCAGCTTGCTCTACTTCTACTCAAGTCATTCCAATAATCAGGGAGCCCTCCTAGAGCACGTTTCCATGAAGGGCTGAGGAGTCCAGAGGAGACACCTCTGTTTTCCTTTGCTTGCCACAATAACCTTGAACTACAACCACAACACAAAGCTGCTCAAGGACACTCTGCCCATGATCCAGGAGAGAAAAGCCCTGGGAGAAGGAGCAGGGTTCACCATCTGAAGCACATTTCTCCTAAGAGCCAGTGCTCCTTTCTAGATGTCAGGTGTTTTACAGCTGAACAGGTAACAACACTGCCAGGCAAGGATCCTTCAGAAGTTTTAAATAAGTAATGGCAGTGAGAAAGGCTTAATTTTCATTAGACAATGAGACAAAGGGGATTTAGGTGGGCAACAGGATCCCAAGTCACAAACACTGAGCTGATACAGATCATGCTCAAAAGCAGTCCCTCCTGGCTTCATGCTGAAGCGACCCAAATGAAATGTGTTGAGGGGATTCTTCCAGCTCTGCAGCCTGTACCTGGGACCACTGGTACTTCACAGAATCATGGGATGCCCACACCTGCCAGGTAGGCATCCCTGGGCCTTTGCTGTTCCAGCAAAGACACAAGTTAAAGGTCATGCACTTTGTTCTACGGTAAGGAAAGGGCTGAATACCTTTTCCATTGCCAGAAGGGTCTCCCAGGCAGCTGATCAAGATGTCACCAGTGCCCAGGCAGTGGGAGGTGTGAGGATTGGCCACGTTCCCCTTCCAGAATAACTCCACGGGCTCAACAATCTACAGGTAGTACACACACCCCACAGTCACCTCTGAGATCACGAGGGAATTCCAGCTCCACCCCGAGGAGCTCAAGTTTCAAGGAGTGAGGGAGGAGGGGAATGGGTGTGCGAGGGGGATTGTTTCTTCTGCCACCTCCCGCTTCCTGCTCTGCCCAGCAGTGCAGCACCACTCCCGACATGTGTTTGCTCTTCTCAAAAATATAAACAGCAAGAGTGGAATGGTCAGAATCAGTCCAATTCCTGCACCAGTGAGACACTAACATCTGTGTTTGCTTCTGCTCTTCTTAGCCGCAGAAGCTCCACTTGTGCAGTGTTCAGACATCAGCTCTCACTGCAGCACTAGAAGTTCAGAGGGGAAAAAAAAGTCTGGCTCCCCTAATTTGAAGTTGGAATCAATAAAATCACTGTCTCTTGGTCAAAATATAATTAAAAAAACATAGAATCATGGAATGGTTGAGACTGGAAGAGACCTTAAAGACCATCAGGTTCCAGCCCTCCTGCTATGAGCAGGGACACCTCCCACCAGCCCAGGCTGCACAAGCCCCATCCAACCTGCCCTTGAACACTTCCAGGGATGGAGCAGCCACAGCTTCCCTGGGCAACCTCTTCCATTGCCTTCCATTGCCAGGATGAAGAATTTCTTCCTGATGCCTGACCTAAATCTCCCCTCTTTTAGTTTAAAACCATTAACCCTTGTTCTGTCACTGCCCTCTCTGGTGAAAAGCCCCTTCCCAGCCTTCCTGGAGCCACTTCAGGCTCTGGAGCTGCAAGTCATCTAAAGTAATCAGCTTAAATAAACTAAAGATACCTTATGGATTCTAGGAGCTCTCGAGTCTGTTCCTACATCCACCACGTAGACCCGAGAGGAGATCAGGCTTGGGAGAATCAGGCGGTTCCTGCTCTTGGTGGCATCTCCAAAGCAGCTGCTGCAGCTGTTCCACCCCGAGTGGTGGAGCTCGTCCCTCAGGTTGGGCATGGGCAGGCGGTGGATCACCTGCAAAGCCAGGCACAGACTCAAGGTGCAGCCAAGGATGGTTGGTTTGTTTGTTTTTTTCCCCTCAGGCAAAGAAATGGGTCTTTATGTCAAAGCATAAATGAATAAAAAGCAGGAGGAAGCTGTTGTTTGCTGTTCAGGAAGCAGGTTCAGCCTCAGATACACAGAGTTGGAAAGTGGGAGAAGGAAGCTGGACACCACGACTGCACAGCATTTGTTAGATCTTGTACACTACTAAAATAATCCAGATTTTCTAAAGACTCTAATTAAGGAGACATGAAATAATGATATGGCAAAAAACCCAACAGAAAACCCATCACTTGTCGATGTGTTGCAAGGCTGTGACTTCATGTCCCTGATCTGAGCTGGGCTGACTGTGGCAGTGACACATCCCTTGACACTCTTGCTTCTGATTTTTACTTTTCCTCTGCCTGGCTAAGAGAAGTTGCAAGATTTCAGCTGAGTTTTGTCAAAGTCTTAGGAGATTTGTTTCCTCCACTCCACCACAACAACCCCCCCTAAGCATGGAGCTCAGGGTCTGAGGCAGCTTCAGCAGTTTGTGTCACACAAGCCCTGCAGGGCTCAGTGCAGTTTGGTTTACACTCCTTGCAGGGACAGACTGAGCAGCTCCAGGACAGTCACACTGGTATTTTGGATCTGGTCTGTTGGCTGCCACCTACCCTCATCTTTCCATTTAGGGAGTAAATGGATTAGATCTGTAAAGCACTGATAGTTCTGCAAACAGAACCAACAAAATCCTAAGCAAACAAAACCAGCAGAGGGTTTGACTGGTTCTCCTACACCCACAAATACCTACTTGGAAATGATTCTGGGAAGCCTCACAAGCACCACCCGAGGCACCAGAGCCACCCCACACCCAGGTACCTGGCAGTAGTGTGGAGACTTGGGATCAACATCCACAGTGGCCAGGTAGTCAGGCCTGTCGATGCCCGTGTTCCTGTAGATACAAGGCAGGTACACGATCTCCTCCCGGGGACCTTTCAAGGCAGAAGTCTTTAATGCACCAAAAGGAACCTTTTTTTTTTTTTTTGCAAATATTCTCTGGATTGAATCTCTCTGTCTGTAAGCTGAGATTCTCCTGAGGCAGCAGGACCTCAGGATTTCCATTTCATGGAAAATCACTGGGAGTGCATTGCTGGAGTGGCCAGAAATGGCCAGCAGAAAGTGCTTCCTCAACTGAGGGGCCTTCCCCTCACCCCTTGTCCCTAAGAGGCTCCAGGGGTGCAATTATTTTCCTGAAAAAAGGCAGTGCTGGAGACCCCCCCCCCACCTGCAAGGCCACCTCAAGCCCCTCCCCAGCCCCACAGTGAGGACTCCCTGCTGCCACGGTTCACTCTACCTGTGCCAAAAGCCTGTTTATTACCACCTCTAAAATTTAGGCTTTTAAAAGATATCAAAGGCTCTGACACTATCAACAGCCACAGCAAAATGCCCCCAGGGCTTCAGTGAGGCTCAGGATATAGCTGGACACTGCCAGGAGGAGCAGAATGTGACTTCTGTGGATGAGAAGTTTGCCACTAACCTGTGTCACACAGAACACCCCACAGCCCTTTCTCCTGACTCCCCCCTCTCCTGTCCTAGACTGTCCCTTGCTTTAGGAGAGAGTCTGAGGGCAGGCTGGGAAGGTCTCCAGCCAAAACCACCCCTGAAACGTTCCATTTTCTTTAGGCTAAACACCCCCAACATCCCTCAAGCAAAGCTCTTTGTGTGACACAGAAAAGCAGACGAGTTTGCTGAGTGTTGGCAGCTCCCAGACCCAGCAGGTCTCAGTGCTGCAGGTCAGTGCCAGCTTGCATGCTTGGCCCAGAGCTGGGTGCAAAATGAAATAAAATCATCTCTTCTGATACTTAAAGTCTCCTTGGCCTGGCTAATTAATGAGCCACTCTGGAAGGCATTGTCCTGCTCTTCACCTAATTTGAAAACAATTAATTTCCTGAAGGCCTGGCTTCAGAGCTGATGTTCCAGCACTTGCCTTTCATGGCATCCAGAGGAGTTGCATATCCTGGGCCACGAGCTCCACATTTTGCTGATTGGAGAAAAAAAGAAAAAAAAAAGTTCTTTTAATCTTCAAATTATTTCAAAGCACATCTCTAGTACTGAGACATTGACTTTGTGTTCAGAGCTTGACAAATCTCAGATCCAGTTTTCACATTGGCAAACACTTGACTCCAGCCAGTGCTGAGGTTACTTGGGTTTCTGAAAATGTACAGTTTGACACCCAGAAATGATGGGAAGTTGGGGCCTTTGTTTCAAGGATCTCAGCCTCACAATTATAAAGCACATTCATATATGACAAGAGCCTGAGCATTTAAGAAAATTGTGTTAAATGTTTCACAGAGCTGCTGAATCCCTGCCAGATGAGTGAGGAGACAGACTGAACAACCTGAACAACCCATTTCGTGATCACTGGAAAGCCAAAGACAGAGCCTGTGCAATTTGCTTTAACTGCTTCAGTGGACAACTGCCCTTTTCCACAGGTGAAAATACAGTAATAGTTATAATGGCATTATAATTAATAGATTAATTTTACATTAATCAATATAATTATATGTTATAGATTAGTATTGTATTATTATATAATAAAGTTACATTAACAAGCCTGATTCCTCCTTTCTCCCTTACTCTACTAGACCCAGGACAGGACACTGGCCTTGCAGAGCAAGACAAATAAAAGCAACTCCTCCTTTCTGGAACACCAGTCCTTTTCCTAGTGACAAATTATACAAGCAGACATTAATTATCTGTTAAACTTTTGAGGAGCAGTCCAAGACCTGACCTCCCTGCTGCCAAGGGCAGGTTCTCCAAGCCTTGTGATCCATCAATCACCACCAGCTCCTCCAGGCTCCAAGGGTCTGACTCTTGACACCCTCTTTTACACACACCCCCTCTTTTACACACAGCTTCCCGCAGCTGCCACGGCCCTGGAGACACAACAGTCGCTGCCACCGGCTGCACACACACACTTGCAGTTTGTTAGAGAGCAAAGCAAAAGAAAAACAATTGCACTATCAGGACTTAGAAAAGCACAAAACGATAAAACATTGACAAGATGCTTCTGCTGAGTCAGGATCATTCTTTTTGGCTGGGTACTAACGGCTTCTTTTTTTTCTTTTCACTAAGTTCTACCATCCTACCCTGGTTTGTGAAGCCACAACGTGCTGAGTCCCCCTGCAAGTTACACCGCGCTATGTCCACAGGCAAAGAAGCTGCCATCTCAGCCAGTCCCCTCCCTCCATTTCCTGTCCGTGTATCCAAACGTTAAAGTCCGTAAAAATTACACGGTTTATCACAAAAAAAAACATGAGCAGAAAGTTAAATTCTGGTTCTTTAGTTTCCTGGAACCTTCCCAAGCGTCACTCAGGTTCACAAACAACCCAGAGCAGCGGGTCCAAATGCTCCTTTCGGGCTGTAAATGCTGAGGTGCTGAAGAGACGTTTAGTAGCAGCACCAAAGGCATTTACTGACAGCGCTAAAGCTGCTTGTTCGACACCACAGGGGTTCCCGTGGCCTGGAGCAGTAAATAAACCCTCTCATAGTGGGAGGAAAGACTGGAAAGTCTGAACTTGAGCCCTGCCAACCCGGCCCCGGCTTCCAAGCCCCTGCGCGCAGAACGGGAGCCCAAAGCAGCGGGTCCCGCGGGAGCCGGGGCTGGATCTTCGGGGGGATCTCTGGGGCTGGATCTTTGGGGCTGGATCTCTGGATCTCTTACCCATGTCGCCCGGGCGCTGCTCGGTGCGGAGCTCAGGCTGGAGAGGGTCGGATCGGCAGGAGAGCAGGGGCGGGCAGGACGGGAGCGCAGCCAAGGGGAGGATCCAGGGCACTGGGACTGCGGGGACAAACTTCAGGAAGGGGGGGAAGCAGCACCCGGAGCTGGAGCTGCTCTGGAGCTGCTGCCCTTCCCACCTGTTCCTGTTTAGATTCCAGGTATCTTTGAGCTGGGATTTTGTACCCAAGCAACCGCCCTTTCCAGCAGCAACGGGGGAAGCGGTTGTGCTTAAAACCTCCCGATTCTGGGCAAAGTTTGAAGCTCCTCGGGGGTCACAGCCCGCCAGACCAGACCAGGGCTCCCACCTGTGTCTGCCTGGGCAGGCAGCAGCGATCCTAACTTCTGGTGGCCCTTCAGTCCCCTCAAGAGGGCAGCTACAAAAAGACAACCCTACTGCGGGAAGTGTCACAGGATTGTGGCTGACAGAGCCTGTCAAGTTGGCAGCTGCCCCGGAGGATGGTCCTTTCCTCCTCTGATCCAGACTTGTCTGTCCAACTGCTCCTTCCCTCCTCAGCTTTTCATTTTAAGATACTACTTTACTACCTATAAGCTTAAGTCAGTGTTTTTTTAAGCTGCTATTAAACAATAAAAGTTATTTCATAGACTTGAGAGACTATGTCCTCAGGAGACATGAACTGAAGATCCACCTCAAGGCATCAGACCTTTTCAGCCCAATGTGCTCCTGAGGAGCCCCAAGGGCCTCCCAGCCTGACCAGGAGTTCACAAACATCACTCCAGTGTCAGCATCTACCACCTGAGTTTCAGCAGAGTATGTGGGAATGCTGTCACGTCAGCAAGGACCCTCTGCTGCTGCCACCAAAGGCACCAGGAGGCCAGTCAGGACCCTCCACACATCCATGACATCCCATCCAAGGAGTAATGCTGCTGGAGAGCAGGGGCAGCACCTCACACAAACACCTCACATGTCCAGACTGACGAGGCAATCCTTCACTCCTGTTTAAATGATCGGAGCCAAGAAGGAACACATCATTGCTGAGGACAGAACGTTGTGACACGAGGTAAGTGGTGCTCCCAGCTCTGGGATTGTGGACACCTTGGGACCTGTCTGTCCCAAACACAAAACCAGAGAGAGGCCAAGAAGAGTCTGTCCACACCTGGAGGCTCTGGAACAGCCCTGGGAGGCAGCCTGAGGCTGGGAAGTTGCAGAAGAGGCACTTGAGATCAAATGGAGTGTTTGCCAAAGAGGGTGGTTGGGAACAGCCTGGTGAAAACGTTCCAAACAGCTTGGGAGGGAGGTGAGACAGGACTGGGTTTGAAAAATAAATGCACCAGCAGCCACAAATGCCTTCAACTGGTCCTTCTCAGCCTCACCTACACCTACACCCTCTGCAGCTCCTGCTGTGACACCCCGAGCTGCAGCTCAGACCCTGCAGCACCCCTGGCAAGCACGAGCCTGATCTCTGCATCGAGTCATTAATCTCATTAAAGTGTCATCACTGAGATTTGCAAACACACTTTATCAGAGTAGAATACTTTTTATCAACTCATCTACATGTCTTGTCTGGGGAGAGGGTTGTAATAGATCATTGTATTTATAGCAGCACAGGAGGAATGTGCAGGTAGGGCCAAACCCCCTTGTTCCTGGCCCGGCCCTTCCCACGGCATCCAAACCCTCCCAAGTCACTCCAGGGTTGATCGTGACGGAATTACAGGCACCAGATGTTTAGAGAAACTGCAAAGGGAAATCTCAGCTGGGACTTGACACGACAAACAAAACCAGTGATTAAAAAGACAGAGATTTTTACAGCCACAACAGCTTCCTGCAGGGAAGTATCTTGATCCTGGGCCAAATCCCAGGGTCCTGGAGCTAAGGAATCTGACGCTGGTTTTGTGAACTGCCCTTGAGCAGGGTCTGCTGCAGAGACAGGGTGTTTGCCTAAGCAATTAGGCTAATTATTTTGTGGATATTGTCTAATAACTCCAAGTAAAGACCTTCAAGAGTTAAGCTGGTTCTCTAGGACCTCATATTGTCACAGCTCATTTAAGGAAAAAAAAACAAAGGAAAAAAAAAGGGGGGGAAAAAGACTTAGAAGATTCCAAAGAAAATCAAGCAACAGGTTGCTCCTTACCTCTCTGCAGCACATCGAAACAGCTTGGCAGAATTTCACCCTAAAAATAGAAATGGAAGGGGTTTAAAGTTATTTTTAGCAATATTTTCAAAGACACGAGTGGTGATTGCTTCAAAGTTTGGTGGTTTAAAAGAGCTCAAGTACCTCCTAGTCCCTGTGCTGCCACTGAGCACCAGGACCCAGAGGGGGCAGGGGAGGAATTTCCTACATGTTTAGTTATCACAAAGAAACTTTGGAGAAAAGAGAAACATTTACAGGTCCAAACTATTGAGAAGCAGTGCCCTGTGTTACACGTTGAAAATGTAAATGAGTTACAATGTATTTTAGACTCGAGCATGGAACCAATTAATGAGCATCCTCGGGCATCCCAAGGACCCATCTGTGCAAAGTATTAAGGACAAACACCTCATGGGGGACTCCCCAAACCCAGACTTTCCAGGTAAAACAACACGTTTGATTTCTGCCTCCTAAGGAAGAGCATTTTAGGAAGAGCTGGAGACACTGATTTCAATGTACTTGGAAAAAAATCAGAGCAAATTTCAAAACTTCACGTTTAGGTTAAAATACAGAACAAGTGGTTGTTTCAGCTCATCCAGCTCTAAAAATTCCAGTTAACTCTGAGCTCACCACAAACAGCATCAGCTGAACCCGAGGGTTAATGTAGTGGGACAAATGGTTCTGTCATCAAAAGCAAACAGGGAAATGTTCTGTACTTAAAGTGATGAAATAATAGAACCAAGAAACTGAAAGAGAAGCTGCAGAGCTAATTTCATCCTCTAGTGGCAATTCCTGCTCCCTCCAAACCTTTATTTCCTTCTCCAGCCACCCCCACGGTATTTTTTGAATAGATTGTAAGAGATCTCTGCTCCACCCTGTTCCACTTTCAGAGCTGAAGCAGATCCTGCTCTCCCCAGACCTCCCGGTGAATCTCCCTCTGCTGCAGGTGGTTCCCAGCCCAGCCCCTTGGCAAAGCTCCCAGCGCAGCACCTGCCCAAACCCCTGGCAACCTGCAGGGGGAAAGCCCAACATTCCAACCCACTGTCATCGGGAGACACAAGTTATCACTGGAGTTTTCCTAAAGAAACAGGGATTTTCTTTTTTTTGGAGCAAGAATCTCCTCTCTTGCTGCCTCCTCAATTTGTGCATTTCCATTTCAGAATTCCTCCTTCTTCCTCCCCGAGCAGCCTTTCCTCCTGGACAGGGCAGAAATGACAAATAACTGGCCAAGAGTGATGTGATGATTTAAAACAGCTGCTTTCTCATCAATTCCATCTGAACTCGGGGGCTGCAGAACATACAAAGACAAAACCACCCCGGGGAGTGTTTATGGTTTCTGTCTTTCTTTTGTTCTGTCGTTTTGGTTTTTTTTAAACTTTGGTTTTGTTTTTTTTAACCTTTGGTCTAAGGAACATTTTTAGCCAAGGAAGAAACCAAGTTTGGGATTAGCAGATGATAACTTTTTTTTTCCTTTTAAATGGTAAACAATAATTAGTCACCAGCCAGTAGCAGAGAACTTTGCTGGTCACTCTGAATTCCACCCACAAACTCCATCTCTCCCACTGCTGGGACAAGTGGCTGAATTGTCCTTAATTTAAGGGAAAAAACAGCTTTTATTCATAGCTTCTACTTCCAGATGATATTTAAAAGCAAGTTAAAAATGCTATTAATATATTAAATAATGCTTCACCTAAGGCAGAGGCTGGGAAGCACAATTAGGAACACAAATGCCTAGTGAGTGATGATCGTGTTTGTCACTGTGATCAGTGCCAGAAGCTCAGATGAGGACACAGCCCCTTGTCTTGTGTGTGTGATTTGTAGGTGACAGTGACATGAGAACACTTCCCTCCAGCACAGGGTGAAGAGCCTGGTGCACAGGCTGAGCCAGGCACAACACCTGGGAACTCCTGGAGACCATCAGCAGCAAATTAACGTGCTTATTTAAGGAAGCACAGAGTAACAAGCTACATTCTGGCACCCCCCAGGTGTCCCAGCCCAGAGGGAAGCAGAGTGCTCACCAAGTCCCTGAGAGTGTTTTCAGATTAATACATAAAGTAACATTTCAAAGTGTGCTGAAGAGAAAAACGTTTATAAAATGTATTCCTGTATTTTTTGCTAAATACATGAACTATTAATAAGACCCCTGCACTGTTTAACCAGGCTGCCTTCAGTACTCAGCCTGCACTGTGTGCAGTGAAAAGCAGTATGATCCATTACTGCTAAATTATTCACAATAAGAAGTTCATTATTAAAGATATAATCACAATAATAAGTCCCTTATTAAAGACATAAACCATCTGAATTTATGCTAGAGAGAAATGCAGTCAGATGGTTTGACAGGGGAGGAAGCTTTGGGTGGCACCAGCCCAGCAAGGTACTTAAGCAAATGGAGGGTTTAAAGCATTGATGTAGTTGCTTTGATTGTGTTTGGATCAGTTAAATACCTCATGGTACAGAGGCTGAAGTGTCTACTGAAGCAAAGCCCTCACACCTAGGCAGGCTCCTAAGCCTGGTCTGTGCTTCCAGGGAACCTCCACAGGAGCTGTGGGAAGTTTATGGCAATTTAATCCTCATCCAACCTGCCCTTGGACACTTCCAGGGATGGGGCAGCCACAGCTTCCCTGGGCAACCTGGGCCAGGGTCTCCCCACCTCAGTTTCCTCAAGGGACAACACCTGTACCAACTTCTCATCTGAGCCTCACAGAAGGGACATAATAAAGAATAGTTTCAGCAAAACGAAGTCTTAACGATGTGTGGACTTGGAAGTCTCTTCATCACTAAATAGATCCTGTTTGGAGCCAAAGCCACCAACTATAGGTTTTGATCACAGCAAGGTCGCTGGGTATTGAACTTCTTGTGGCTGGTGGGTCTCAGTCCCATCTCCCACCAGCAGCTCCCCTCACCTTCCCCAAGAAAACTAAAAGGCTCCAAGGCAGGCTGAGCTCTGGGACCCACCAAAATCACCTGGCAGTTAAGACATCAAGACCTAATTACAACATCAATAACTGCAGGGGCTGAAGCG